CAGCGCCCCATGAGCAGTTTCTTGAGGTTAGGTTGCCTTGCTCAAGGGCACCTCGGCAGTGCATAGGAGGTGAAACTGGCACCTCTCCAGCTACCAGTCCACACTCCATATTGTGGTCCGTGGGATTTCAACCGGCGACCCTCTGATTCCCAAGCAAAGTCCCTACACACTGAGCCCCTGTAGTCCAGTGGGTTGCATTCCTGAAATGCACTGTCCATGTGTTTTCTGACTTTGTGAAATCCACCTACCCTGTAACACTATCAGCTTGTTACTCAAGCGAGGCAGTGAAGGCACCACGACTGGAAGGGATATGGCATTTCCTTAGGCACAAAGCAGAAGAGACAGGAGAAAGGCATTGTTGTAAGTTTATTGCAACAGTGTTCCAAGTTGAACATTATGCAGCATTTTGTTAGACTGTTAATTGTCATTACCCCCAGAGTTCAACTGGATTTAACTTTGTTGGAAGCGATAGTGGCAAGGTCAGTTTACACTGCAAAAGCGGAATCTTAAGAAAGTAAAAAAGTCTTGTTTCTGGCAAATAAGATATTACAGCTAATATTGAGCTTGATTTAACCAGGAACAAGTTCCAACAATGTTTTACATAATATCCCAGAAGAGGAAGATTATTGTCCAAATTTTAAGAGTAAGACCAATTGCACAACTTCTCAGTTTAAGAGAAAGTAGTCTTATCCTCGTCTTGGAAATGAAGCAGTTGTTTAGTTTTTCACTGGTTTAATAAAAATGCTAAAATAACAATACTTCTGATGCCTTCATTTAAAGTCAGTTTTTTAAGGCCTGTTACAGTATTTTAGTGGTCTTTTATGCTAGTTTTTAGAATTCTAGTCAAGCAAAACTGACTTACCACACTGGCAAATTGTTTTGCTCAATTCAAGAACATTTTATTATATTCAAGAATATTTGGCTTGTTTCTAGAAGGGCTGTTTTTGCAGTGTGTGACCCTGTCCCTCTTAGATACTGTATGAATGGGGGAATCCAGGAGGACATAGCCACGGCGTAGTGACAGTGACAGTGGAGTAAGGCGTGTAGTTGTGATAATTAAGTTTAAGGTAAGTGGTTAGGTAATGCATTATGTCATTGCGGGTCCTCAGAGAAATACAAACCAGTGTTTGAGTGTGCTGCATTCAGGCAGACACTTGTTGCAAAGATGAGCACAGATACAGAAAAATGTCTCAGACACTGACAACAATCCAACTTTACAGCTGCTCACATACACAACCATACACACACTCCAACCTGGGGATGAAAAATGTCCTCACTTTAATATGCCTGTTTTTGTGAGGACATTCAAGCCTCATGAGCATAGACACTCACACACACACACACACACACACACAGCCCAATGAAACAGGTACAGTATCCTCTCCAGCTCTCTCTGATTTCCTGCCCAAAGAAGGGCAACAGCAGATTTCAGATTGTCTCCCTCACATATCAGACATTCCTCAGATTCCTGCTGCAGACCTGGAGCTAGGGTCGAGGTGCAGTCCGACAGACACTACCATCAGACTCCCCACTGACACACAAACCTCCAGTCACCGCATAACAGGAAACAGTAGCCTGAACCTCTTGTCTGCACTATGTAGGTCACAGACACACACACAGGCGTACAGTACACTGTTAGTACATGTATATTGACTCAGATTGCAGTACAGTATGCACAATCAAATACATTGATAATCAGGATGTAGAGAATGTTTTGTTGATGAAATATCAAACAAAACCATGTCTCTTCACTTTAGTTACGTTAACTTTGAAGCTAACTTAGGTGTGTCCTTTATTTTGTTGTATCTGTGTAACCAAAAACAAAGGTTTAGCATATTTATTTAAAGCTGCACTAATCAGCATTTTTATTTGATATGAAAAATGGGTCAAATGACTGTGCTAATGTGATAGATGTCACCTGTAGTGTTGAAACAACCGAAAACTATAACCAGCTCTGCAGTTCCACATAGCATCTTTCAGCTCATTGTTTTGGTTTTACATCCTATACCTTCTCCAAACTCAGTTCTAAAAACCTTGCTATTTGCCATTTAGCAACTTTATAATGTGATGATATGTCAAAGTTGACACCTTGCTCCTAGGTACAATTTAATCTGTGGTGAAGCTGCAGATTGCAACTAACTGAACATAGCTCACGTTTGTATTTGACAACCTGGGAATGAGAACAGGCTGGGAAGTGTGTAGAAGAAACTATGGCGACCAAGATGGTCATTCTAAGATAACAAAAACACAACAATTGCTATATTCAGGTGATTATACACTAAAGCAAAACATTCCATTTCTGCCAATAGATCCTCCTAAATGTTACACACCTTTAATGCAGGTTGAAGAATTATGACATTACATTAGTTAAAGCTACAATATGAACAAAGATTATCTCACTTTTCCAGAAACCTATTCCATTAGAATATCTGAAATATGCTATATGCTATCACATAAAACATATACACGTAGGGCCTTTCAAATTATACCAATTATTTTTTTCTAAATACAATCTTAACAAGAAAGTCCTAAAAGATTAAATTGTTTTTATTAAGATAAAGAATATCATCTTTAGGGTGTATTTCCTGAAGAGTTTTACGCAGCTGGGAGTGAAGGGAGTTAATTATCAAAATAAAGAACATCAACAGAAGTAGAGTCATGTTGATCACATTACATTACAGATGTGACACATGCCTTCACATGCTGCTTTCCCAGCTGCATGTGAGGACGGATATACTGGAACATGATGACATCACTAGCAGCCAATCGGCCCTGCCTGCTGAGCTTGATGTGACAACCCAAAACTCATGACATGCTGTCAAAGTTGAGTTATCTCAGTGGTTGACACTTCACCCCAGCAGGGTTTGTTTAGTTCTGTGTGTGATTATGTGCTTATGTGTTACACATTACACTTCCCAAAGGTCCGACATAGGTAATTACTGATCAAGTGTGTTTGTGGTGTGTGTGCGTGTGCACTGACCTCCTATAGCTTCACACCTTGACGTCATCTCCCAAAGCACAAGGGCCATGGAGTAAATGTCGGTCTGTTTGAAGGACTCGATGTTCTCCAGATTCAGTCGGGCCTCCAGCACCTCTGGAGCCATGTAACGCGCCGTTCCCACCTGCAGTACAGATATGCCAGGAGAGGTTAACACCCAAACACACATACACTCATACACACAAGGAATTCTTGTTTCTGATGTTTAACCAGGTAGAAAGATTACAAGAATAACCGTATCTCACTCTCACTTTGGCACACCACCCACACATTAAACACTGTATCTGTCTACAGGAGTGTCATGTTTACCTTCTCCTATTGTCTGGCTTGTGAGTTATTGCAACCGCTGGGCTCAGTGACAATAAACCTAACTCATCTCCTGGCTTTATTTGTTAATGGATGACATATTGGACAAGATACAAAACTACACTGATGACATGTTTTCTTCTCTGGTTTTTCAACTATTTGATGTGCATAATCAAAATACACACATCACTTACTCCACTGAGTATAGTTGAGCTTACTTTAAGGTTGAAAAAAGTTATTGTTTTCCAAGTCAAAAGTCTCAAGTCTTGGCTATGGGGTCCCAAGTCGAGTCCATAGTTAAGACCAACAAGTCCTCAGTCAAATCCCAACTCAAGACCAGTAGGTTCACAGTCAAGACAACCAAATCCAAAGTCAAGTCACAATGTAAGACTAATACATTCCAATCCATGACCCAAAACCAGTCCAATAGGTCACAAGTTAACATCAACAAGTCCCAATTCAAGACCCGACTGAATATCAATAGGTTCAATGTCAAGATCAACAAATTCCAATTGAAGTCCCAACTCAAATCCATTAAGTCCCAATCACAACTGACAGTATGGCAATCCATTGCCATTTTGTAATTTTAAGTCAAAAGACTTTAGTCCTCGAGGTGCCCTATAGCTTACCTGGTAGAGCTGGTTGCCCCATGTACTAATGCTGAGTCCTTGCTGCAGCGGCCCAGGGTTTAAATCTGACCTGTAGCCCTTTGCTACGTGTCATCTCCTTTCCTGTCTATCTTCAGCTGTCACTACTGTAAAGTGACAGCTGAAGATTGAAAAAAAATGACTTTAGTCCAAAGTGAAGTCACGAGTCATGGTGGTCAAGTGGAGCTACAAGCCTTTTTTGACTTTGTCGAGGCAAATCTGAAGTCATCAGATGCTGCTTGCATACCACTGGTACTGTATGAGTAGGAAATAGCAGCTCAGTAGAGTAATGTTTTTGCATGAATCAGAATGTATTTGCATAATGGTGCTGATAATGGTGCTGAAATTGCTGATGCGGCTGTGCCACATCAGCAATTTCCAACCAGGAAGCTGTTACATAATGATCCCTCATGTCAGAATTAGAAAACCTGACTGGAAGTCTTAAATTGGGACTTGACTTGGAACTTGTTGATCTTGACTCTGGACCAACTGGCCTTGCATTGGGACCTGAATTGGCATTTATTAGTCTTAAGTTGGGACTTGACTTGGGATTTGTTTGTCTTGATAATATGTGTATATGGTACACAGTATCACTTTCACCACTACTTTAATAACCCTCAAATAACTCTTAAGTTTGGTTTTCAGAATTGCATAACTTTAAATCTATCAAAATACATTTGTGGTTCAACACACAGAGTCGAACAAGCTTGCAGAATATTGCTGACATAATATCTGTGGTTGTGTGTGGAACCCTTTCTTTTGTGGCAGCCCATGTTTCTTCACAGGTTTTTTCCAAGTTGGACCGCATGAACACACACAGAGGTTATAATTACAACCTACCAGCTGGGAATTTCCAGCTTCCAATTGCATATGGAACACAACATGACTGCCACGGATCATAATTTGAACATTTGAATGGATAAAACAATGCAACAGAGAGCACTGGAACAGATGAAGAGAATCACAGTGTACAAGACTGAAGGGCGGCAAGTGGCGATGTGATTCATAGGTCATAGGTTTCTCCTGTATTTGCATGCACTGTTTGTATATATTTGTGTGAATATATTTGAGTAGAGGATAATATGTGTGTGCAAAGGGGTCACAAGTATGTCAACAGTCTCTCACCTGTCCCTGTTCATTTCCAGCCAGTGAATCATAAGTCATAAACAAGCAGGACAAAGTTACTGTCACTGACAGACTTGAGGAGCTTTTATGTCACAACAAAGCATTTTCCACTACCTTCATCCCTTGATTGCTGTCTGTCTCCATCTCTTCTGTCAGCAAATGAGGTGTGTGATAGAAAATGGCAAAACAAACACAGCCAGCTCATATCTCACCAAAGCTGTTTTAATGCAGAGCTTTGATGGCGAACAGACAAAGTTACCATAACAGCACATAATGCAGATGCAGGCGCCCGGTTAGCTCAGTAGGTAGAGTTGGCGACCCATGTACGGAGTTGCTATATCTTTGACTGTCACTATCAATAAAAGGCAATAAAAAAGGCCAACCCCCCCCAGCACATAATGTACTTGGTTTGTGACTACTGACACTGACAGGGAGCTGTCCTCAAGTACTGTACTTGAGTACAATTATTAAGTACTTTGAGTATTTCCATGGCAAAGGGCCACTGGTCGGACTCAAACCCTTGGTTGAAGTGAAGCATATGAAGTCACACCATAAAGAAGAAAAGTAATTAAAGCTAATTTTCATCTGACCTGTCCACTGTTGGCGAGGTCATCCACAGACAGGCTGCTGTCCAGGCGGAGTCCCAGCCCAAAGTCACACAGGCAGCACGTCAGGTCGTTCTTCACCAGGATGTTGGAACTTTTCAGGTCTCGGTGGACTATGGCCACCTTTAGGCACAATAGTAATATGGATGTAAAAAGTGTACATTTCGAAATAATAAGCATCAGAGTAGGTAAATAAATTGCAAATGCAAAAAATTTGAAAAGCACAAATGAACTTGCAATAGCACAGAAATTATATATAAAGACATTTTATATTGATCAATGTGATAAATGACGAGATATCTTGACCCCTTGACGTTTCTTCTGGTGTCACCAGACAAAAAAGTTTGTAGACACGGAATATCGCAATTAAGTGGGCAGGTTGCCATGAAATTTGCCAGAGGATGAACTTATTTCATTTCAGAAACTCCACTAGCATTACTTGCTAGCACCATCTGCAGTTCATCAATGAAAATTTGCTGAGCACATTTATGATCTCAAGAGGACACACCCTTTAAAGACCGTACAGTTCTTAAACACGACATTTCCATACTACGTACATTTTTAGTTCTATGACTGATAGAGCTTGAAATTGTCAAGTATGTCTGTCAGTATGATTGTTCTGTCAAATACTCATTACACTTGAGGGGTTGCCAGTGAGGCTTTAGACTTTTTGTCTAAATATGATCATCATTTGGACATTAAATCTATACTTTCTAGATGCAGTCTACGTTAGTTGTTTCTTTCTGTATCTATTTTGACAATGATTACTATTATTATGATTAGTATATATTTTTAGCTCTGGTATGCTGTCACACAGTCCTACCTTGGGGCGTCCACAGGGGAGGCGGTCACTGTGGAGGTGGGCGACACCCCGGGCCAGAGAGCTTCCCAGCACCTGCAATTCCTCCCAACTGATCACATTACGCGTCAGGTGCTCCTAGAGGGCAGAGGGATGATGGGATTAGTAGTATTCTAAAATGGGTTGATACTTATAAAGTTGCTAAATGGTTGAAACTTATGAAGGAAAAACAGACTCTTTGTGGCAATTGCAGTTCACAACATGGAGTAACACTGCCTCTCTCATGTTGGGTTACCTGACAGTGGTGGTCTCACCTGTAAGTTTCCTCTGGGGTGGAAGGCAGTGATGAGCCAGTACTGTTTCTCCACCTTCCTCTCCTCAGCTGTCAGGAAGTGGAGGATGTTCTCGTGTCGGAGGTCTGTATTGGAGAAGATGTCTTTCTCGTTCTTCCAGGAAGCGTACTCCTCATAGGGGAAGATCTTCACAGCCACCGTTTCAAACTGATCTGAGGTGGTCTGCTTCAGCTTACCCTTGTATACCTGGGCAAAGCGACCCTTTCCCACCTGGGACAGGATCAAAAGTTACAGTTTTAGTTAGAATTTAAATCAAGATGGCTTTGAACAAAATAGCTCCACAAAATACTTCTAGGTGTGTATACCAGCAGATCCAGCTCTATAGGCAGCGGCTCAGTGTTGTGGTTCAGGCTGTTGGCGCGCGTCGAGCTGCTGTCTGACCTATCGTCATCCATCATGATGGCGCAGGCATCGCTGCAATCCAGCCCACCGGCTTTTGGCTTCCGCTTCTTAATGCTGCTTTCCCATTCTCGATTGAGCATGCGTTGCCGGTAGGCTCGGTACCAGTAGAACATTCCCACAACCACAGTCACCATCACCAACAGGGGCAGCAAGCTCACAAGAATCACAGAAACCAATGGATCGTCTGGAGTTGGATCCACAACTGGAAGAGAAGATAGAAGATTCATCCAAACCTTTATATAAACTGGAAGAACCATCGGGTTTAAAAAGGTATAAAAAGGCTGAGAGTATATGGCAAGAGCAAGACCAAAGCAGCACACAACACTGAAAGGAAAGTAAGTACAAAACTACTAGTAAACTAGATCAACACATACAGTGGTGGAGGATACACCCACCAGAATTGTATTTAGCTACTACCAGGTTATAAAATTCCCAGATCTAAGAGCTAAACTGCTTGCGGGTTCTTGGTGACATTAAGACCTACTTTGAATTGAATCTTAAAAGTCAGCATTAAAGAGGTTTAAGATAGTGTGTGCTGATTGCGGTGAATGCTGCAAACATGAGTCATGATAGTTTGCTGTCATGTTGGCAGACTGTGCAGTACTTTCCCTACCTATCTGAAGCTAAGGTAGGCTGAGAGTTGAAACCACCAACATGGGTACAAAGCGCTGTTGAAGACAAGTAGGAGTAATTTTGGACTGACAGAAAACAGCTAAGATTTTTCAAGTGACTGCTTCCACGTAAAAGAAGAGAACTGATACTGGCTTACTGACAACATTGTCACGTTATCATATTTTAAGGGAGTGGTGAAGCCATGGGTCGTATAACCCCCTGATGGTGTCTAGACACTGGTGATGGTAATTGGATGACGACAATAGCTTAAGATCTGGCTGTGATGAGCTCAACCTGGATGCTGGATATGATGAACTAGAGGTAAATGGGGTGGAGGAAGGTCGCAATGATTTTGCATTGAAATGACAGCTGAAAGCAGCAAAGAAGAAATCAGATTAAAACGTTGACAGCAATGGTAATGATGACTGGTTTATTGAGATTGCAGCAAAATATGGTTGTTTGAACTGAAAGAGTATCCGGATTCCATTTTTACAATTTTTTATCCAGCACCCATAAAAAAATATTTAGACACCTCCTATTACTCTTCAGAAAACAGCCTACCGTTTCCACAAAAAATTAAGTAGAGTGAAGGTAGTGGCATAAAGGCAGGTTGTTGAAGGACACACAGCTAAATATGTGTGTTTTGGGTGCTGCAAACAGCAGCAGCAGCAGCGAGATGCAATTTCCTCCCACTACTCATACAGTAACAGTCCAACACAAGTCAGCCCACCACAGGGAAGTCATTCTCAACGCCTGTGCTATGAAAACAACATGCTGTTCTCCACTCTATGGAGTGCTGTAAATCATGTTCTTTCCATCGTAACAATGACTTTAAAAAGTATATGTACATATGGGTCTGTATCTTTAAGCTTGTGATCTCAGTAGGGAGCTGACTGTGTACTCAGTCAATAGGCCTACAGTAGACCCTGCCAACAGTGAGCTGCCTTTACAGCTTCATGAGCTATAGCATTAACTACCTCCTCTGACTCTGACTGCCAGCCCGGACAGAACGGCAGCCAACCCTCAGAGCTCCAGCGGTGGGGAGAAAACAGTTGAGAGCCTGTCTGCCTCGGCTTGGCCCGGCCCGGCCTGGTCTGCTCTGGCTGGGCACCTTTTCAAAGAGTGTCTCACTCAGTCTCTCAGGGGAACATTACTCCTGAGCGAAGCTGCCACATTGGCAGGCTGGAGGAGCTCGGACCAAGGACTGACCATTGAAGAAGTCACACCACCCTGCATCTATTTTGCATTCAGATTTTCCACTGAGCACTATGAAGCCATAGAAATGTATCACAGGTCACTCAGTCAAGTCAAAACTACAATTGAATACATCAATAAATAATACTGTGAGTTACATAATTATAATGGAATGCAACAACAAATATAAACATCAGTTAAGAAAATTGATTTTTTAAAATTTGTTTTTATTTGGTACCAATCAGTTGATAAAATTAACTCCTAATTAACTAATTTAGCTCATTAGTTCCCCTAAAGGTCCAGTGTGTGCCATTTAGTTGGATCTATTGGCAGAAATAGAACATCATATCCTAATTACAGCAGGTCACCTTCCACGGAGGGCGCCCTCTGGAATGTCATGCTGCAGCTAACTTTTGTCATAAAAAACACCAGCCAGTGCACATAATGTCATATCATTCATTTACAGTCCTGCATACTACTGTACTGTCAATGTAGGCTATTTTAGCCAGCAAGCTTACACTAATACAGTTCTATAAAATATAAAGAATGACACAATAATGTCCAAGGCTTCCCATATCCACTGTGGTCCTTGATGAAGATAGATAGATAAGATACATAAGATACATACACTTGTAGATGAAGTGTTATGAGGATATAAGCTAAGTGTCTGTAAACTTCTAATTAGTGTTAACAACATTATAAGCATTAGCTTGTTGTTAAAAAATGTTAACTTTGGCTTTTCAATTATGACTCTTAAGCAGTACACAACAAATAATTATCATCATCTGCACTGCCTGGTGTAGTTTTATGACAAAGGTTATTTGCAGCTAATTATAGATAGTAGGCTGGTGCTCAGTGTGTTTTCATAGCTGGCCACAGTCAGTTTGAATTGTCTGATAACCTTTTATTGCAAGTTGTGGGACTGACTGAGCAGCACACATGCAAATGACAACTATTTGTGGCTTGATAGTTATTTACAGGTGCTAATGCAACAACATCAGAGGCTTACATTGCATGCAGCAAAGACTGAACTACTCTGTGAAAAAAACATTAGACTTGTTTGTCACCCTGAGACTTCATGTAACCTTTATTATAATGTGTGCAGTGATCACGGCACACAAAGCTCTATTTTGCACACATGTGCCCTAAGCAACAACTGGCATATGATTATATAGCCTCATTAACTTTAAAATAGGTCTGATTCACATGCTTTAAACTCTCTTTCTCTTCAAAGAAACTATAACCTTTGAATCTATCATGTACTGGGTTGCTGTGTCATCATACAAGGTAAAAATATTCACAGTGGGATGAATAATATCTTCATTTTGTGGTTGTGTGTGTGTAACTGTAAAGCAGTAAATCTTTCTGAAATTGCTGTGGGCAAAAAACGTGGACGCAATAAATCAAAAATACTAAACACAAACACACGCACAGATTTTTTGATTTGAGAGAACTTCAAAAGTCTGGTAGTAAAGTGGGTTGCGAAATAAGAAGGCCAGACAGTCAGACACTGCTTCTCAAATTCCATGTGTCTGTAGGTGTGTGTATGCTTTAAGGGTTTTAAGATTGCTTGGAGGTTTTTGAGGTTTTAGGTTTATTTCCTTGCCGTCTTTCTGCCATGATTGGAGTGTGTGTTAGTGTGTGTATTTGTGGCAGAGACACAACCAATCGGACGGTGCCAAGACAAACTGGTAATAGGACTCATGTTGCCTTTTCCAATCAGGATGCCAGAGTGTTCTCATGCAGTGTTCAATGAGGTTTGACACATCATTCGGACTAATAGAGGGATCCTCGCCTCCGGTTTGCAATTACACACGTCATCTCTCTGTGTGTGTGTCTGTGTGTGTGTGTGTTTCAGGATCTGAATGGTGGGATTTCAAATGCTGCCATCTCTGACTCATGCTCTTAATGCTCTAACCAGTTGCTAATTATTTGGATCCTCACATCATTTGGTGAATAACAAAGTTGTGAGTTGGATATTTAAAAGAAACTATTTTCCTCGGAAAATGATGGAACCAGACATGATTTCATGTTCGAAACAGGTGATGGGTGGATAGATGGAAGCCATTATAAACAGAGAGGAGGTCGAAGCACACTTCCAACAGGCCTTCACTGTACCAGTGTGTCTTCTCAGCCAGCAGAACCCTTCTAATGAGGCTTTAAATGTCCTTATTCATGTTGACTTGATCAAACATTTTCATTCAAAGCCAGTGGTTAATTTCTGGTGTGATATTTTATCAATCAGATTTGTGCATTTTCTGATTAGGGTTGTAAATTGTCCTTACATCTTTCAGAATGTAATAAACTGCTGTTTTGTGTCAACCAGCTGTAACAGAGATATGGAGACGATAACAGCTAACAGGTGAAGGATGATGTCATGTCTGGCAGTTGATAGCTTTATGGTGTCTAGAAATAGCAGCTATGTGCTGATAAGACGCTGCTATAGCAGCTCCATGACTGACCTTGTGGCACTTTGATTTCTCATAAAATCAATCATGGAATGCATAAAACTGAACAGGAAAAAGAGGCTTTACATGTACTTACACTACGAGGAAAGTTTTAAAACATCAGCATTTAAAGCTGCACTAATCTTTTCTTTTTAAATATTAACAATGGTTAAAATGACTGTGAAATGTAATAGGAGTCACTCATAGTGACAAACCAGACAATAATCACCTAACTCTTGACATATATACACAAATATACAGAGGTGGAAAAAGTACACACATTTCTTAAAAACAGACTCTGATAAAAGTACTGATTCAAGTTCTTTGCTCAATTAAAAGAGGCAAAGTACCAGTTTATAAGTGTACTCAAAGTATAAAAGTGGTAGTAGAAAACTACTAAATTACAGTAACACAGTATTTGTACTATATACTTTATTATCTATTTAGTGTAAAGTGATACACAGCCTTGAGATCGAATCAGAGTCAAAAAAGGAGGGTGACTATAGGGTTTACATTTACTCAACCTTATTAGATTAGTTTTGAGCTTCTTCTGCTGCCCCTAAGTGGCTAAAAAAAATCAATTAATACAGCTGTCATATAACGTATCTGTAGGGTTTTGTAAGTTCATTAAATATTTGCTGTTGGTTATACTCTCTGCACACTGCACCAAAAGGTTCCGAAGTTTCCTGAAGGTATGTTTGCACTATGCATGGGTTTTATTTCATGACATGAATCTCATATTAAAAAATGTGTTTACCTTCTTTCCCCCTGGAGTTTTTACCCTTCTAAATGTATATAAATAACCTGCCTTTATCCAGGCTGGTATCATATTATGGTGGAGCGTGGAGGAATCCAACCACAGGGAGGCTGGCAACACTGACTAAAAGTGAATATCACACTCACTATTTACTTGTTATGGTAACAGCACTGCCTTTACAACCCAGACTGCTTCATAAATACGGCTCATATCTCTCCTGCTCTCCATCCCCTCCCTCCAAAGTCTCCCTGTGCGTCACTCCGCTTCCGTCTCTGCATCTACTTCCTCATCCCGTCTCGGCATTCTCTGTCCTCTTCTGTCACTTTGCCTCACACATGTCCTTCTCCTTTCCCTCCTTTTTATGCATCTTAGAGTTGGCCTGCTTGAGTCATTTGTCTGCTGTGTGACCGACTGATGTACTCACTGAGGGCAGGCCAAGATTCCACAGTTAAGGAGGAACTGTAAAAAATCGGAATAAAAATACAGCTCTTGGAACATGCACAGAGACACTTTTTCCTTTACAGCTCCACGTCCCCCTTCTTCTCCTCTTCCTCTTTGCCGCCTGCATCAAGAAGTCACTCTAATTAACTTTTCCGTTTTCTTATTTTTATCTCTTGTTCTTCTTCTTTGTCATCAAAATAGATCATAGCATCAAAAATCCCCACTTTATATCATGAGGAAGATTTCATTCATCATGAGGGATGCCAAAATAACCCATGAAATGACTTGGACGGGATCAGGAGACATCTGTGAAAAAATACAGACGGTACGAGTGAAGGAATCCATGTTGGGAATGAATTAGTTCTACCTCCATCTCATTCCTCACATAGCGTGCCTCAAAGTGTGTAAAACTGACTTTCACAAGTGCACAGCTGTAAATACAGCACTAAAACAAAAAGCATGTTACTATGACAAGGCAGTATTTACTATCTATGCCTCCCTTCCCACTGAAACTAGTTCACAAGCTCCAAAACACATGTGCAACTGACACTGGCTGAGAGGCGGTGTTAGTCTGCTCCAAATCATCTTAATTAGAAACAAATGCCGTATCACAGAGGTCTAAGTCTCTCTGAGTGTGATGGATGATCTCTGATCAGCTTTTATGTTCTTGTAGCACAATGATTGTGAAAGTGCAGGAAGTCAAAATGAGGATTCTAAAGTAGTATGTCCACACTATTTCTGATTAGATTTGAAAAAGGGGTTTTGTCCACACTAATATCTTAACTTAAAAACTTACAGTCCACCCCAAAATGCCAAATTAAATAGAAACCACAATGTGATAGTACATACGTACACCAAGGCCACACAGTCTTCAAAACTGTTTATTCTAATAATAAAAATGTTTGAAAAGAGGTCTCAAACTCTAATTGTCTTGGGGCCACTGCTGCTATTGTCATCTCATAGGAGGTCCACTGCCATGTTCAAGTACTACAGGAAAGCACAATATTGAAATTGACACTGATACTGAAAATAGTTCCATTACTAACTTTCATCAATCAACAAATGAAGGCCCAGAATGCTGCTCTCTTCTCATCAACCCTTTGACCTTTTATTTTGTGCCAAACAAAACGCATTCTTTCAATAGAATTGTGTTTTTGTTTTAATTGTGTATAAAGGGATAGTTTAAATTGATATGAAACATGAAAAGGTCACGTGGCGGGTCTGATCTCAATCAAAATACACATACTGATAGACAACAATAGTGATGTGACAGACAGGATCTTTAAATATGGGCTAATATTTGTGCCAGTAGAAACTGAATGGAATCTTGATAATTGGTAGAAAACTGAATCTGAATTGCTCAACTTGAATAATTGTAAAACTTTGAGAACACTGAATCGATATTCGGTAGTGAATCTGAATTGCACTTGCAACTGAAACTTGGTAATTTGAAGCCTCCACTAAAATTCAAGTTTTACTGTAACTTTTTCATTTCCAGTTCTCCTCAATTCAAATTCCAGTTCTTCATTTCAAATTCAGTTCTTTTCAATTTCATTGTGAAATTCAGTTTTCTCTAAATTTAATTTCAATCCACAAGATTCATTTTTTAAGGTCACAGACGGGTCAAACCTTAAGCAACATTAAACATTAATTTATTATTTTTAGGCTTGCCGAAAAAACATGCCGTTAAAACCCAAAAGTACTAAAACTGGAAAGATGTAAGAGTTAACTCATGTCCTGAACTCCTATATTAAGTTTTTTTCTTATGTCGGGGTGCCATCAAATTTACAGTGCTATTGTTAATTTGAGCATAGAGTCTACTGTAGCTTGATTGACAGGTCGCCTACAGATCTTGTTCATCACAAGTAGCCCAGCAGATGAAGCATGAAGCACCTTCAATACCTTGCTTCGTCGTCTTTTTTTTTTTTCCCCTCGTATAAATAGAGTACGGAAGTTTCCTATTAAATGAACAGGTACTAGCTGTTGCTTTAAAAGGACTTGAAACGTGCCTTCTGATTAAAGATCAAAAATGCTCAAAGTAATAAAAAATGTTTATATAAACAGTTTAAAACACTAGGTTGCAGGATGGG